TCACATGCGCGCCAGCCACCTGGTCTTCACGCGCACATGTGCACCAGAAACCGGAAGACCAGGTGACCAGTGTAAATGTGCATGCTGGAAACCAGAAGCTCATACGCGCGCCAGTTCTGGTTTCTGGTTTCCAGTGCTCCCATGTGTGCGCGCAGTTTCTGGTGCTCCCCCATGCGCGCGTGCTCTGTTTCGGCACTCGGTGCCAAAAAGGTTCGCTAATACTGCCCTATACCATTCCAGACAAGTGGCTGTCCAGTCTCTTCTTTAAAACCTCCAGTGATGAAGCCCCTACAACAGTGATGGCTAACCTTTTTGTGTGCCAAAAGCAGGGGGAGTGCGGGAGGTTTGCACACGTGTGTGCCCACACCCATAATTCAATGTGCCCCACACATGCACACGTGACCCTCCCCCCCGTGCTCCCCCTGCTTTTGGCACGTGATGGACTGGTGGGCCCGTTAGGCCCGCCTATCCCCCTTTCTGGCTTCCCCACCCCACCCCGAGGCCCTACGGAGGCCAGAAATGGCCCGTTTCCTGACTTCCGGTGGGCCCGGAAGGCCCGTTTTTTGCCCTCCCCAGGCTCCAGAGGCTTTCTAGGAGCCTGGGGAGGGTGAAAACTATCTTCCCCATCCCCTCTCCAGAGGCCTTCCGGAGGCCGGAAACAGCCCGTTTCCTGACTTCCGATGAGCCCGGAAGGGCCGAATATCAGGTGGCCAGCACATGTATGTGTGCTGGAGCTGAGCTAGGGCAACGCTCACGTGCCCACTGATATGGCTCTGTGTGCCACCTGTGGCACGCGTACCATAGGTTCGCCATCACGGCCTGAAGGCAAGCTGTTCCACTGGTTAATTGTCCTCGCTGTTAGGAAGGTTCTCCTTAGTTCCAGGTTGCTTCTCTCCTTGATTAGTTTCCATTGTTTCTTGTCCTGCCCTCCAGTACTTTGGAAAATAGATTCACCCCTTCTTCTTTGGGGCAGCTCTTCAAATATTGGAATACTGCTATCATGCCACCCCCTAGATTATTTTGATCTATTTAGTTACAGTATTTAAGAACATTTTCACAGCCGCCCACTTTACATACGGATTCTGGGTGGCTAAAGCAGTGGTGGGATTCAACCAGTTCTGTCCCGATCGTGCGAACTGGTAGCGGCGACTGCGGGAGGCTCCGCCTACCCGCCAGGACGTAATATGCGACTACTACGCATGCGCAGAGGTGGGTGCTCACATTTGTGAACTGGTAGGAAAGGTAAGTGAATCCCACCTCTGGGCTAAAGACAATCAATAGAACAAAATATGTGAAACCGCCATAAACCAAGCATAATGCAAACTTGAACAAACCATAATGGAACAATCAAAGCCCTAACAATACACAACACAGGCCCTTCCTCTATTGCTCTCAACCAGTGGTGAAATCCAAATTTTTTTACTACCAGTTCTGTGGGTGTGGCTTGGTGGGCATGGTGGGCGTGGTGTGGCTTGGTGGGCTCAGGGGAAGGATACTGCAAAATCTCCATTCCTACCCCACTCCAGGGGAAGGATACTGCAAAATCCCTATTCCCTCCCCACTCTGGGGCCAGCCAGAGATGGTATTTGCTGGTTCTCCGAACTGCTCAAAATTTCCGCTACCGGTTATCCAAAACTTATCAGAACATGCTGGATTTCACCCCTGGTCTCAACACCCTAACAAACTGTACCACGTTGCAGTCCAAGGGCGACTAAGTCAGGCCTGATGAGCCAATGCATCCTCCCCGTCCCGCTTGTCTTTAATCCCAGAGCTGGGAGAATGTGTTATTTAGAACTGCTATTCAAACAGCTGTTTGGAGAAGCTATCAGGGCAACAGTCCAAGGGTATGACACCAATTTGGAACGCTCCTCTTGGCTACCCAGCAGGAATAATGAGGCTTCCCAAAGTGGTGCTGAGCAGATGGAAAATGAAGGCATCATGATTAACAGAGTGGAAAACCAGGGAGGATGATGTCTTATTACCAGGACGTGTCCTTGACTTTCTGTGTTTTGGGTCTGGCTGACAGAGACACAGATATGAGTCTCTTGAAAAGCTCACGGAACGGAACGGAAAGGAATGGAACGGAACGGAACAGAACAGAACAGAACAGAACTGAACTGAACAGAACAGAACAGAACAGAGAAGTGGAGTGCAGTGGAGTGGAGTGGAATGGAGTGGAACCGAACCGAACCGAACCGAACCGAACCGAACCGAACAGAACAGAACAGAACAGAACAGAACAAAGAATTGGAGTGGAGTGGAATGGAGTGGAGTGGAGTGGAGTGGAGTGGAGTGGAGTGGAGTGGAATGGAATGGAGTGGAACCGAACCGAACCGAACCGAACCGAACAGAACAGAACAGAATAAAGAATTGGAGTGGAGTGGAGTGGAGTGGAATGGAATGGAACCAAACCGAACAGAACCGAACAGAACCGAACAGAACAAAAACAGCTTTATTGGCCAGGTGTGACTGGACATAAAAGGAATTAATCCCCAGTGCATAAGCTCTCAGCATATATACAAACAAGAAAGTAACATAAAAATAAGATACCAACAGGAGAAGATAGTAGAAAAGATGATAAGGATAATACCCATACTACATGGGTAAACATCCTTGGACATAAGACAATATGGAAGAAATTAGGTGTTCAGCAGAGAGAAGGCATAAGGGAAAACCCACAGAGGGATCCAACCCAGGGACTATTTCAGAGGTGGGTTTCAGCAGGTTCTGACCAGTTCTGGAGAACCAGTAGCGGAAATTTTGAGTAGTTCGGAGAACCCGTAGTAAAAATTCTGACTGGCCCCGCCCCCATCTATTCTCTGCCTCCCAAGTCCCAGCTGATTAGGAGGAAATGAGGAAATGGAGTGGGGTGGGAATGGAGATTTTACAGTATCCTTCCCCTGCCACGCCCACTAAGCCACGCCCACCACACCATGCCACCCCCACCAAGCCACCCCCACAGAACCGGTAGTAAAAATATTTGAAACCCACCACTGGACTATTTCCTTCTAGATGTTGGATGATGTCAGATCAGAGTTGAGGGGAAAGAAATACAGTCCTCAACTTAACAAACTTTCATTTAGCAACCGTTCAAAGTTACAATGGCGCTGAGAACACTGTTTCAGCCCCGTTCCTCACTTACAACTTCCCCACGGTCACGCAATTGAAATTTGTGCGCTTGGCAATCGGCATGTATTTAGAATGGTTGCATTGTTTCGGGGTCACATGATCAACAATTGCAAGCTTGCCAGCTGGCTTCCAACCAGCAAAATCAATCACGGAACCTGGATTTGCATAAAGACCACACAATTAATTTAATACTTCTCTTTAGTATGGAGGTAAGATGGGTAGCCTATAGATTTTATAAATAAATAACTGCCGTAATTTGCTTGACGCTGGCAGAAAAGGTTGTAAAATTGAGTGTGACTCACATAAGAACAGGGGTGCTATTCAGCAGGTTCTGACAGGTTCGGGAGAACCAGTAGCGGAAATTTTGAGTAGTTCGGACAACCGGCAAATATCACCTCTGGCTGTCCCCAGAGTGGGGTGGGAATGGGGATTTTGCAGTATCCTTCCCCCAGGAGTGGGGTGGGAATGGAGATTTTGCAGTATCCAGCCACGCCCACAGAACTGGTAGGAAAAAAAATTGAATTCCACCACTGCATAAGAACCACCCTGCTTAGCAATGGAAATTCTGGTCCCAATTGTGGTTATAAGTCGAAGACTATCTGTACAGGTAGCCCTATCTTACAACAGTTCAAAGTTACAATGGCACTGAAAAATATGACTTTTAACTGTTTTTCAGTTATGACCTTTGCAACATCCCCATGATCATGTGATCAAAATTCAGATACTTGGCAACTCATATTTATGATGGTTGCAGTCAGGGGTGGGTTCTAAAAATTTTTACTACCAGTTCTGGGGGCGTTGCTTATTTTGTGGGCGTGGTTTGATGGTCATGTGACAAGCAATTCTTTAGGATTTAGCAGAGGTACTAGTCTACCAGGCTTTTAACTGCTTGCAGAGCCGTACCGGTCTACCCATTTGTTTTTGGAGCGCACTGGTCTACCACCACACTGCCTTTTACCGCTGATCAGCTGTACAGCGGCCCTTTGAAGTGCTGCGGCAAGAGTTTAAACAGTTTTTTGCCACTCTGCCACCACCGAGAGCATCGGAAACCGCTTTCAGGCAGCTTGGTCTCAATTGCCAATCTACCACCACCGAGCGGTTTACAAGGAGCGGATCGGTTCTAGCCGATCAGTTGGGAGGCTTCTTGGATTCTCAATTTAAAGCTAAGGTGTCTTGGGTTTTTTTCCTCTTCTTTGTCAAATGAACCCTGATTTTTTCCTTCTAGCCGATCAGCTGGGACTCGAGAGGCAGCGAATAGATTGGGAGCAGGGCCAGGCAGAGGTGGTATTTATCGGTTCTCCGAACTACTCAAAATTTCCACTACCGGTTCGCAAGAACCGGGGAGAACCGGTAGCAACCCACCACTGCTTGCAGTGTCCTGGGGTCATGTAAAACCTTTTGCAACCTTCTGGCAAGCAAAGTTGATGGGGAAGCCAGATTCACTTAACAACCGGGTTACTAACTTAACCGCTGCAGTGATTCACTTAACAACTGTGGCAAGAAAGGTCGTAAAATGGGGCAAAACCCCCTTATCAAATGTCTCAGTTAACAACAGAAATTTCAGGCTGAGTCGCGGTCGTAAGTCGAGGGCTACCTGAATTTCCCAGATAATGACCAGAAACTTATTTTTCCCCATAACACAAATTGGATGTCCAGATGTTTATTAGAATCTACAGTCCGCAGCCATTTTATAGATGTAAAGGGGGGGAGGGGAGAAGCAATCTATGCATTGGTTCCCTAGACGCACCTTTTTAAAAAAAAGCAACACAAAAAGAAAAAGCTGCGAGAGTTTTTAAAGCTCCATGGGGGAACTAAGCATATTGATAGAAAAAAGAATTATTATTATTTTTTTAAAAAAATTGGACACTTACCAGCAAAAAGCATCTTTCCCGAAAGCATCTCTGCCAGGATGCAGCCAGCTGCCCACATGTCAATAGCTTTGGTGTAGTTGTTGGGCGAAAGGAGCAAGCGGGGAGATCGATACCATTTGGTCACCAGGCCTTCGGACAGGTAACCCTGAAAGAGGGAAGAAAATCCCCGCATCAAGATAATGCACAGGTATTGAGCTGTTCTGTGAGGATGCGGAGGATATAATTGGCTAATTATACAAGTAAGAGAGAGGGAGGCAATGGACATGATAAAGAGAGAGAGAGAGAACCTATCCATCTATAAGTCTGTAGACATTCTCAGCAGAGGTGAAATCCAGCAGGTTCTGGAGAACCGGTAGCGGAAATTTTGAGTAGTTCAGAGAACCGGTAAATACCACCTCTGGCTGGCCCCAGAGTGGGGTGGGAATGGAGATTTTGCAATATCCTTCCCCTAGAGTGGGGTGGGAATGGAGATAATGATAAAGTCACTTTTTTCAGTGCCGTTGTAACCTCGAACGGTCAAATGACCTGTTGTAAATCGAGGACTGCCTGAATTGACCTATGTGGCAGATTTGCTGAAGGATTTACAGAGATAAAGGCATTAAACCTCAAATGCACCATGTATTTTAATTAACATTTAGCCAACTGTAGCAATATTGGCTTTACAAGTCCAGTTAGGCCTCGTACAAGATTCTCTCCTGTTATTCCATAAAGTTGTAGGCGGGCATTGGCCAAGATAATACATCTGGTTTTTCCTCTGTCTTGCAGCTTTATACCAATAATTTCAATACACCCCATAGTTTATCATTATTAATTGATAAACAGCAGAGCAATCTGTTGCCTTCTACTGAAAAACTAATTTTGCTTAACAGCTGGCTGGAGACATTCTCTTTCACGCATCGCTGCTTTTAGAAAAGACCCAGGTTAAAAAAAAAAACAAAGTTCAAATGAAGGGCATTTCTGTGCTGCCGTCCTACAAAACCAGTTTGAAAATGATCCACAATGATCTTCAGATTCACTCGCTCAATAGAAAAGTCCACTTGATTCCATGCAAAGGACAAAAGATTGCATGCTATATGAACCCATAAACAAACATGCTTACTTGATGTTTCATGTGTTTATCTGATTATGTATGGGGGGGGGGGAATCCCAATGAATGCTATGAGGAGTACAAAAATTTAGCAAGCCACCTTCTCTTTGAAAGCCCGAAAGCCCTAAAGCCCTGCAAATAAATGTAGAAGTAAATCTAAAACTGCATGGAAAGGAAGGGAGGGAGGGAGGGAGGAAAGGAAGGGAGGAAAGAAGGAGGGAGGGAGAGAGGGAAGGAAGGAAAGAAGGAAACGAAAGAAAGAAAGAAAGGAGGGAGGGAGGGAGGAAGGAAGGAAAGAAAAAAGAAGGGAAAGAAAGAAAGAAAGAAAGAAAGAAAGAAAGAAAGAAAGAAAGAAAGAAAGAAGGGAGGAAGGGAAGAAAGAGGGAAGGAAGGAGGGAGGGAAGGAAAGAAGAAAATGGAAAGAAAGAAAGAAAAAGAAAGAGGAGGGAGGGAGGAAGAAAGGAAAAGGAAGGAAGAAAGAGGGAGGGAGGGAAGAAGGAGGGGAGGGAGGGATGATGGGAGGGAAGGGGAGGGAAGAAAGAAGGGAGGGAGGGAGGGTTTCCTGCAGTTTCAAATGCATTACACCTGAACATCAAAATAAAATCAGTTCAGCTCTTGAACACAGTTGATGTCAAGGTATCACAAGCATCAGGGACTGGTTTCGAATTTTTGAAAAGCTTTTCTGTGGAAGCGATCTAGGATCAAACCCTTAAAAGAAATCTTAATGAATCTGTTAAATGCAGAGACACCAAGTTTGGGAGAGCATGTCCTATAAAATGCTAAGCATCAGATTCATAATAGCCACTTGGCCAATTAAACAAAGCAGAAATTAGTTCTATGGTTAGTTACACAATCAGCTTGTTGGCGCCATGGGAAAGATTTTCAAAAGTCTGAAAGCAACTCTTCCAAGACCACCATATGGCAACACAAGAGAGAAGTGAGAAAACTGGGAGTGATGTCTTTGTTTATAATAAAGTGAAGCTTTCAAAGATAACGTCTGTCTTGGTTTCTGGGCTTCATGGATTTATTCCTATAAATTTCTTGGCTTTCAGAAGAATCAAAGATTAAGGAGCTGGAAGCTAAAGCATACAATAAACAGTTGTAGGAACTTGGTATGTCTGGTCTAACAAAGAGAAGGACTAGGGGGTGACATGATAGGAGCCTTCCAATATTTGAAGGGTTCTCACAGACAGGAGGAAGTCAACCTATTCTCCAAAGCACCTGAAGGCAGGACAAGAAGCAACGGATGGAATCTAATCAAGCAAAGGAGCAACCTAGAACTAAGAAGAAATTTCTTGACAGCGAAAACAATGACATTGTGACATGGCTTGTCTTCGGGAGTTGTGGGTGCTCCATCCCTGGAGGTTTTAAAGAAGTGATTGGACAACCATTTGTCTGAAATGGTAGAGGGTCTCCACCTTGAGCAAGAAGACCTCCAAGGTCCCTTCCAACGTTGATATTTTGTTATTTTTTTTCCTGATCTGCAGAAAACTCATCACAAACATCCTTGAAGTGATGGGGCAGTTTCCAAGCTCCTTGCTTTATTTTATCTAACGTGCAGCTTGGACTTACCCTTGATTTTATCAGTCTGGGGTTATATATCGCAAATATTTATTTGCTAGCTGCATTTCCCCCCCACCCCCCGATCTTCTCTCTTTCAAAACAAAAAACAGCACGATGGTCAAAAGCGAGTTTAGTCCAAGATCTTGGGGCACCGAAAACACTCACACAGCTTGCAAGCCCTGTCCGCAGGTGGGTTTGTGCGAAGGTCGACCCGTGTTTGTGCGAGTTAAAGCGAGATCAAAAGCCCAGCTGCACCAAAGAAAGAATATATTGGAGAAAAGGACTTGGCGGGGGCTCCATAAATGGGAAAGCAGGAACCAAACGTGACTCACAACAGCCAAGAGCGGGTGCCAAATTTGTTTCCCTTGCCAAAAAATCACAGCCACCCAAAAGCTGAGGTTCACGATCGCCCCTTATGCTCTCCTAAAAGTGAATAAAAAAAAAAAAAAGTCTTGCTTTATTGGCGTACGTTCAACTTTGGAAAAATCAAAATACCCCATCGGAGGAGGCAATTATAAAGAAGATTTTGGAATGTGCGGAAGCAGATAAATTGACTAAAAAACTAAAAGACAGAGACCAAACACAAACATGTTTATCTTGGAAAAAATTTTATATGTGGTTAGAGAAGAGGAAATTATAACCCAAACTAGATGAGGAATTGTATCTATTGAGAAACTTATACTATACAAGTAAAGTGAGGTCGGATAGACCTAATTGATGTGTAAAGGTATACAAGTTGTTCTGTCTTCTCCGGAATATAATATAGATATACAGTACCGAATATTAGGTTATTAAAGTACTACTTATAGGTATGCTTGTTTTTTGTTGTTGTTGTTGTTGTGTTGTCTTGTTTGTTATTTATATGATGTGTTGTCTTTATTTTTTAATGGAAAATGTAAATAAAGATTATTAAAAAAAAAAAAAGTCTTGCTTTTAACTTGTGTGTCCCGACTATTATTATTTTTTTCTTGCGGTTCAACAGAGGGCAAGTGCAATCTCGGTGAGAGAAAAAAAAAAACACACAATCCCAATCATCCTTAATCATCCGTACAATTAAGGTAATTCGCACCACAACATATTAAAAACAACAACCAAGGAATAAAGCACCACTTCTATTTTCCCTTTGTCCCTTTGCTCTCCTTTATGACCAATCACTGAGCCTTGCTTTTGAAAAAGCCACTTATTTTGATTTTTTTTCCCCTCGCCGAGTCTGGCAAGTAATTGAGACTGCTTAGCCAAAGCTCTTTACAAACAGCTTTGCAATGATTTCTCTCCCCCCCTTCCCGGTTCTAATTGCTAATGTTCCCTAAAACAAGAAGAATTCTAAAAAGCACCACCATATATGGGCCGATAATGCGTTTCCAGACACCATTCAGCGTCAAAAGAGTTTCAATGGATCCCTTCTTCTTTGCCAGGAACTCATTCATAAAACGAAACAAAGTCTTCTTTTGAGAGAAAGGCTGGGAATGCGCCCGTGGATCGCACACGCCCTTGGCACCTGCCAGGTTTGCTGTTTTTAAGGAAAGTTTCTTTTAATGAAATGAATGGGATGGTGGCATTGGTCACAAACAATCTCAGTTTGGATTCCATTCCAGGGGTGTTGCTCCAAATGGAGACCACAAGCATTCTTAGAAAAGAAAGGAGGTTTAACGGAGTGTATACAACTATCACGCCTGAATATCTAACCAGCAACAAACTGGGTGGATTTAATTTCAGAGGTGATTGGAGCACAGTTAAGAAGCTCAAAGGACAATCTGAATTGAATGTCAACTCGCAAAGCATCCCTGGGCCTGCTCTCGAGTTGCCATAGGCAAGGGGGATGGGAAACCGATGAAGCAGCAAGGCAGCCAAAAATAGAAGAACATTCCAGATATATATCTCTCAAGGCTGTCTCCCAGGGTTACCCACAGCGGCCGGAGGGGAGTGATCTCTACAACCCGCAAAATTGCTCCATTGGCGAATGTGATTGATGACACACCCTGGGGGGAGGGGGGAAACAGGGTCACAACTGGAGCGTAAATTACGTAGGGTCAGAGTTGGCTTCACTTGGAACCTGCCGGCATGAAGCTCCTAATAAATAATTGGATTTCTTTTGAAGCTTGGCTCGAGGCTCATGATTTAATTTGCGCATCCATCGGAACCCTGACATTTCCTCTCATTATTACCACATTTCAGACAGTTTGTCAGTGAAGATCTAAATATAATTACAGATAGTCCTTGACTTATAACCGCAACTGATCCCAAAGTTTCTGTTGCTAAGTGAGAGAGTTGTTAAGTGAATTGTGCCCCATTTTACAACCTTTCTTGTCACGGTCGTTAAATGAATGACTGCAATTGTTAAGTTGGTAACACTGTTGTTAAGTGGCTCTAGCTTCCCCACTGACTTTATCAGAAGGTTGCAAAAGGGGATCACATGACCCCCAAGACAATGCAACAGTCATAAATATGAGTCAGTTGCCAAGCACCTAAATTTTGATCACATAACCATGGGAATA